GACCCGAGGCTCCAGCCTGCTCACGCTGCTGGCGGACCGAGACCCGAGGCTCCAGCCTGCTCACTTTGCCGGCGGACCGAGACCCGAGGCTCCAGCCTGCTCACGCTGCTGGCGGACCAAGACCCGAGGCTCGAGCCTGCTCGTGCCGCTGGCAGACCGGGACCAGGACTCCCCAAGTGGTGACATGCAATAGGCTGGGATTAGATGGCTAAGGCTCTCTCAGCTCCTGCAGTCACAGTGAGCCCCAAGACTTCCCAGGAGTACAGGCATGTGGTACTGTCAGTGAGGCACGTGCCGCATCTACACCTCCTATACAGGCCTGCGTGAGCTGCAATGTGTACATAGGAATCTACAATTCCTCATTCGCCCATGTGCAGCTGCAGTAATTCATAGCCAAGATGTGGAAAACACACAAGTCTATTCCACATTTGGGCATTACAGAATAATTGGGGGTTCTAAAATAAAACAAATGCTTCCTAGACAGAAAATGCATACACTGGATACACTGTTGCTCAGAACTCAAACATTTTAAAAATACTCAACTTTTATTAAATAGGCACACACATTTTTGGCATCCATGCAAAATTGCATCAGTATGATGAATTCTAACCTCAGTCAGCATATCATGAAGAAGATAAGATGACATAAGTAACTCAAGCAGCAAGCAAAAAAATATAATCGTAGCAGTGTTCTTACATATTGAAAAATTGAATCAGATTTAAAGACAACTATTATTCTTTTCTCACCCTTTTCTTTGTAGAAATAGTAGTCAGATATAAATTCCAATAGATAAGACTAACAACACAGGACATGCACTTTAAGAATTTAAGAAAAATTAACCTACCCAAAGATAAACAAAAATACAACTTGATGACTCTTTCAAAAAGACAGCCTTCAGTTCTTTAGGATTCTGTTGTACAACTTGAACTCACCCTTCATCACAGATGACTCTAGCTTTGGCACCGAACAGGATACCTTCAGACAGATCATATCTTCCATTCAGTATCTCTCCAGGAGAACCACAGGACTTTTCTACGGCAAAATAAGATTACTTCAGTTATTCAGGTGGGATTCAACAAAACTATGAATACCTTTATAAAAAAAGAGGAACATGTCTTACATTAGAAAAGCATCGTGTAATGAACAGCACACTTGTCTGTACAATTCCACAAAGCAATATAAATGCACATTGTATAGAAATAGTGTCAGCTGATTTGTGTTCATCTCCTGGCCATTTACAATTTAATAAAAAAAAATGTTTGACTTTATGAATTTTTGAATATTTTCACCACAATGTTATCAGAGCTTCATGTGGGTCCTAGTGATATATAAAGGGAGTCTGAGAGAATGAATTACAAAATAGTTTCATCTTCTTTCAAAGATCTTCTTTGAAAGAGTGGGAGGGCAGTAATGTGCAGATTAATCTCCAGTTTAAGGGCAGTTCTAACCTACCCCCATCAGAAGAGAGAACAACTCCCTCTTCACCTTGCTGCCACAGTACAGCTGCTGCCATACAGCCACAGTGGTAAATGAAGTAAACCCCCAGCTAGATGTATGGAGCTTTGGACAAACCATTTAAATGTAAAGATAATCTATCCAACTATTTCAGTACCTGCTCTTTATCTGTTTAAAAAAAAAGCCCATCGCTGGTAATAGGGAACGACAGTCCCAATTACTTTATGGGATCTGTTTGGTCTAATGAGAATGAAAAGCATCTCGGCTGTCTGAATAAAATACTGATGCAATATCGGCTCTCTGTTCTGCCTCTCGGGACTCTCCATCATTAAAGCGTTATGGAAAGCAAAGAAGCAACACTGTTCAATGTATGAAGAGAAAGTGTTACAAATGTGCAAGTACTCACTAGTACCTCAATGCATTTAAAAACTACACTCCCCTTGCTAGTCTGGGAAGAGGCAAAATCAAACCGCTCTTATTCCAATGCTACTGTTTCCGATGCCTACTGGGATGATCTGCAGGAATTGCCTCTCCTTTTTTTTCCTCACTGTTACTGTGATCATTTGTCTTGGCTGCAATGGTGTCATGTTTTTGCGTCCTTTTATCATTACAAAACCTCTCTAATTATTGGAAACACGTTAACCTGAAGTAAGAACAGATTGCACTCAATTTATCACATATTAACAAAAAAAAATGACAACACAAATTAACCAGTCAGCTTTTGTTCCTTTTCAAGGAAGTATATCTCAAAATGACAAATTACACAGTTGAGGTGCCGTTAGTATATGATGTTTTCCTAATCTAAAAAAAATAAACACTCACTTTCACATGTTAATGTCGGTTGACTCCACTGGCCGTTACTGCAGGAGATTGATGGAGATCCACTCGCTCTTCTATATCCTGGGTTACATTCATACGTAACAGCAGTTCCCTCTGGGAAATCATTTAATAATTGAGACTGGTCATTTAGAACAGCATTCTGTACACTTGGAGGATTACTGCATTGACCTACAAAGAGAAAATGAACTTGGATTAATTTCACTTATGGCTCTAGTTACACTTTGTGTTTGGCTGTAAAGCCAATGGTAGTTAATACAATAAAAAGGGCCAAAGTTGGATATAATATCTTCAGTTTCATGGTTCTGGAGGGATTGTGTGTTTTTATGGAACCCGAGTGTGGAGAGTTCAAATTCCAGGAGACAACCCTGTCCAGATAGCTGCAGAAAACAGTACAATAAAAACAATAAAAATCAGATATTTTTTGGAGAAACATGTACCAGATTAATGACACTATAGCTTAACGATGAGATACAACATCCTCACACATAGGTGTGGAGATGCTTGATCTTACAAATTGGAAGTTTTAGTGGTCACGTTCTTACCCCTTTACATTAAAAAAAATTGAATTTAGCATTAATTTGATAAATTTAACAGAAAATAGTTTCTTCTCTGATGAACTCTCTCAAACCCAGCTCTCAATAGCCAAGACAGAGGTAACTTCATTCACCTGCTAGCAAGCTATAGAATAAAGTGCATCCTAAACTCCTAAACTGTGCCATTAATACCATCCAGCCCTTACTTCTAAGGAGGAAGCTGGAGGAGATGCAAGTCGATGCCTCCATGACCTCGTGGATCACTGACTACCTGACAGGCAGACCACAGTCTGTGAGACTTCAGAACTGTGTGTCTGAACTGGTAGTGAATAACACAGGGGCACCTCAAGGGACAGTTCTTTCTCCATTCCTCTTCACCCTCTATACTTCGGACTTTAAGTACAACTCAAAGTCATGCCACCTGCAAAAGTTCTCAGATGACTCTGCAATTGTGGGATGTATCAAGGGTGAGCAGGAGGAGGAGTACAGAGGACTGGTCAGCAGCTTTGTGGAGTGGTGTGGGGTGAACCACTTGGAACTGAATGTTACAAAGACAAAGGAACTGGTGGTAGATTTCAGGAGGAAAAAGGTCAAACCTACTCCTGTCTACATCCATGGGAGTGGCGTGGAGATGGTGGACTCGTACAAGTACCTGGGAGTGCACATCGACGATAGACTGGAATGGTCTAAGAACATCGAGGCCATCTATAAGAACGGACAGAGCCGACTTTACTTCTTGAGGAGGCTCAGGTCCTTCAATGTGTGTAGTAAGATGCTACACATGTTTTATCAGTCGGTGGTAGCGAGTGCCATTTTCTACGCAGTGGTGTGCTGGGGCTCTGGGATTAGAGCAGTAGATTCCAAAAGGCTGAACAAGCTCATCAGGAGAGCAAGCTCTGTCACTGGGTCTGACCTGGACCCCTTGGAGGTAGTGGCTGAGAGGAGAATGATGTCCAAACTAGAGGCCATCATGGACAACTTCTCCCATCCCCTCTATGACAGGCTTGCAGGAATGAAGAGCACGTTCAGCAATAGACTGATTCATCCACGGTGCGACAGGGAGCGCTACAGGAGGTCATTCTTGCCGTCTGCCATAAGACTGTACAACGCATCCACCTTGCGTCTTGGCAGAGGCAACAGCGACAGTGACCTGTTTCTGGACTAAATGCATATACACATCTGTTCTCTTTCTTTTTCTTTTTCTTTTTCCCGTTTACAACCACTTTTGTGCAATATATGCCAGGGACCTGTGCAATACATTTATATTTATATTTATATTTATATCTATGGTTACATCTATATTTACATTCATACGTGTGATACGATTTTCTGTGTACTGTTCTGTTCTAGTTTGTTCTTGTGTGTCCGAACTGTGAGTAACTCTTGTATTGCATTGTATGTATTGTACTATTATTATATAATTCGTTACACTGTGGCTGTGTTGTGTGTGTGTTAAGCTGCTGTTGCACTGCAATTTCCCTCACGGGATCAATAAAGTATCTATCTATCTATTAAAAATACATATTTCTTTATATTTGAAATATCTACTGCTTTGTAAATGCAGTTATTTGTAAGTGTGAAAAGGCCACAGACAGAACGAACAATGACTTGTTTTAAATCAAGGACGCACTGGACTAAATCCCAAGACACAAAACTGATGACATGATTAAATTAATGCAATTGATAGGCGGATGAGGACAAGTGAAAACCAGAAGTCTGCGAACTCCCAACAGCAATAAAAAGAGCAGTTTGGTCTATCCCTGCAAGGCAGGGTAGAGGTCTACTACCCGACCTGAGCCCGACGGTCCGACAAAGTCTCGGGTTTTCGGGCCGGTTTTTCACATACAACTTCGGGCTCGGGCGGGTTTCGGGTTTGTTTTCTAATAAGTGAAAATTGATTATTATTTTATGCTTAAATGTATTTTTATTAGAAGAAATTCCTAACTCATTTTGCGCTGTCGCTTGCCCGTTTGTTCTCTCTCTGTCTCGTTCTGTACAATATGTGTGTAACAAAGCTTACCTAGCTAACTGTTCTCAATGGATGAAATAAAACGAAAACTCACAAAGAGAGAATTACCAAAATGCCAAATGAGTCGGGGACGGCTTCGTTATGGTAACATTTGACCTAAATACCAGTTTTTCTCAGCACACGGCATTTTTCTCCATCAACTAAAGCGCATAGCAGCCGATCAAAGCATTGTAAAACCGCGTCAGTGAGAATCCGTCTCCGTGTGCGCATGTGTCTACTCGCTCCGAGAGGAGAAGAGTGACGATTTCGGGTTCGGGTTTCAAATTTGGAAGTCCCATTCGGTCTCGGTTGGGTCGGATCTCAAGGTCTCGGGTACGATCCGGGTTTGGGTTTTCATGCCCGTGCAGATCTCTAGGCAGGGTACACCCTGGACATGCTGCCAGACCATCGCAGGGCAGAAATGCGGCCACACAGACTCTCACACTACGGTCAAATTTCCCAAAAGCCAGTTCATCTACCAGTATGTTGTTGGTCTGTGCAGCCATATCACTCTGCAATTCCCAACTGGCAACCCACTGAAGCTAAGCAGGTGTCAGCCTGGTCAGTACCTGGATGAGAGACCTTCTGGGAAAACTAAGGTTGCTGCTGGAAGAGGTGTTAGTGGGGCCAGCAGGGGGCGCTCACCCTGCAGTCCATGTGGGTCCTAATGCCCCAGTATAGTGACGCTGTCCTTTGGATGAGACGTAAAACAGAGGTAAATCCCAGGGCGTTTCTCGAAAAAAGTAGGGGTGTAACCCTGGCGTCCTGGCCAAATTTCCCATTGGCCCTTAAAAAATGTAGTTGGTCTGTGGGAGGAAACCAGAGCACCCGAAGAAAGGGTGAATATACAAAGCACCCCGGGTCCAGATTTTAACTCACTGCACTACCGGCACGCCCCAGTAATAAATAGATCTATACAACCAAATTTTAATATGAATCAGGCTTCCTGTCGGCTTAGCAAGCATTTTAGGCAATTGCACCTGTTGATTTAAGATGCTAATATGGGCAAGAACAGCACCTAGAAACAGCATTTCGAATGCTTTAGAAGGACGTTTCAGGATATATACGGCAAAACACATTCAATACCCATCTGCTCCGGACAGTGTTAATTGCCTGAAAAACTGGACTCACGGCGGACAAAGGCTTTATTTCTATTCAGCAATAACGATTGTATAGGCGCCTATAGAACCAAGAAGATTATTTCAAAAATATTTAAACTAAGCTAAGATTAAAACATAAAATACGAATTTACGTTTCGTACCATTCCATTTTTAAATGTTTTTGAGGTTTTAGCATCATAAACTACCATTCTTCTGGCTATATTCTAAGCCTATACTGTAATTTCGTGGACTTCTGCCCTAATACTGAGTAATTCCACTTCAGCATGGTGGAAGAATCTTAAGGCCAAATGATTTCAAGACTGCTCTGATTTTTTTTTTGCCAAATTTATTTAATTGTTTTGTCATTCGTTTTCTACCCGCCACTATATATTTTTATATTTTGTCTTGCCATTCAACTTCAAACCCAAACCATGTGGGGCGGAGGGCGGGTGAAACAGGACACATGACGGTCAGGTAGGGGAAACCAGTTAAATGTAAGATATCTGCTGTACCTGCTACGTTGACAACCAGCACAGTCAGGATCAGAACCAGCCCGTTCTGCAGAACAGCCTGTTCGCAGAAACGACCCCAGCCTGACATACTGTTTCTCTGGATATCTTCACAAAACAAAGACAGGAAAAAGCTTGGGCGTCACAGCCTCCTCGTCTCATCCCCTTCTGAAGTCCTTGTAAAAACAAGACAAACTATATTTTATGTGTATATTCGCTTTGTTCCCTCATCCCAATTAAATTAATAATATAAAAGTTTTCTTTTAAAAAAAAACTAAAATTATGTTCTGGATCTCAGTTACGCCCTTTTGCTTTTAAGTATATCGATTTAATATTCTTTTTGTAATTCCTTAGTTATGACCTACTTAATGTTAAGTCAAGACTACTTTCCCATCTTTGCAATCTAAAAACGAAATACTGAATACCTTTAAGCTCTGTGTAATGTTTCAAGCTGCAGCTATCACACCCACACAACAATGTCTTCTTCAAGGGGGTGTTAACCAATTTCTTAAAGACGCACTACTTCTACGAAAAAAAAAAACAACCAATAGTATTGTAACGCCCTCGCCTGGTGGTGAGGAGGAAGCGCCCCTAGGCGCTCGTAGTACCGCTGGGCATGCTGGGAGTGGTAGCCGGGGAGAGTATGAGGGTCACCACGATGACCAGCGGCTGACCCTACCTGTGTAAATAATGTCCTAGTAGTTCTAGTGCCTTGTGTAGTCCTGTAAAAGAAAAGTGTGTTGTTAGGTAATTACCACCCTAAAGATTTGTACGTGTTCCGTCAGTCTCCTCATGTGTGTGGATTCTGTGTTTGGTTTTGTGTGGTTGTTAACAAATAAAGCTGGTTAATGGCGTCTCCGATGTTATTTATTACTGAAAAGAACCTGCAAACGCTACAGTACAATGGAATAATAACAGTCCATTCATTTTCCAACCGCTTTATCCAATACAGGGTCGCAGAGATGCCGAAACAATCAGAATGATCTTCAAATGATTAAGGATAGTTTTGGTTTAAATAGTGCCCTTCATGTGAAGATATCTCAAAGCGCTTTGCAGTAGACGTAAGAGATCAACCATAAATGTGGTCAGAAAGAGTATTCTGAAACACATGAAACTATAAGAAGAATGAATGAATGTCAGTTAACCAGGGCTGCTGCTCAAACTAATTATTCTCCGTGACGCCACTTCCTGTAAAACTGTAAGCCTCTTTCTCACAGGCCTAACCACATTCCTTTGGTGCTTCCCTAGCACCCTAACACGCTCTCTATCCCCAGGACCCTTATCAACAACCTTCCTATCCTACAGGATGATCCCTCCATTGGGGCCCTCTTTTCTGACCACCACATCATCTCATAATATCTCATAATATGAGTCATATTGCCGGCCACCCAATCTGCGTATGCTTCTGGTTCACAGCTCCCTGGACCGTCCTTAGCAATCATCCACACCAGGCACTTTCCCCTGCAACAGAGCTCGCTGTATCACCTGCAAGTACATATCTAACACTACACTCATTCAAGGCCCCTCAGGACACTTCTGGCTCACTCAGAATATACATCTTGTACCTCCAGCAACCTTATTTACTGTATCTCTTGCAGTAAATGCCCAGCCATCTACAGTGGGCAAACAGGGAGGAGACTGGGAGACCGCTTCAGAGAACATGGTGGGGCTGTGAAGATGAAAGATTTCTCCAAGCCCACAGTTTCTCGGTTCACCTCTGACGGCCATGATTGCACCGACCTCTCCGTCTGCATTCTCAAACTAGGGTTTTTTAACATTATATACTGTATAGCAGGAACATCAGAAACAAAAATGATCCTGAAACTTGGCTCACACCTTTCCCCTTCTCTCAACGACTGACCTGTTTTCTTCTAATTCTCTCTATTCATTGGTAGGTTTTGTTTCACACCTCTCTCGACCTCGCACCACTGGATTGGCCACTCTGCCTCTCCTCTGCTCCTGCCTCCTCCTCTCTCCTTGTCCTGGCTTTTGTTTCCCCACGCTATATTATCTTTGTTGACTGCCCTATCTTTCTTGCACTGAAGAAGGCTCCACAGCCAAAACGTTGTGTTTCCTTTCTTCTCTTTTCAGCATGGAATAAACCTATTACTTGTTCCCTTGCAGCCTACGCGTGCTGATGCGACTACCCGCCTGAGCCAGGCGGTTGGCCCGGAGCCAAGCGGGTTAAGGCAAAGCCTCTTACGCCAAACTCCTCCTTGATGCATCCTCTTATTGGCATCTCGGGTGGGGTTTTGCGCAGATCAGGTGCATTTCTGTAAAACCCCTCCCTGTCGCTCCATGTGTTTCCTTGCCAACGAGGACAAGTATGGGCCGAGGTGGAGTTTGTTTGAAATGTATAGAAAACCTAAGCAAAATTGTCTTAGTGGGATTTTACACGTACTGTATGATGCTACTAGAAATCAGATAAAAAAGAGCCAAACTAGAGCCACTAGAAATCAAATTAATAAAAAGAGTGAAATGGCTTCCTCTCGTTTTTTACTTTACCTGTCATTTTCATATAATACAATAGGTTCTGCTTGTTATTTTAGTTATATAACATGGTGGAAGCTGGTATTGTATAACTACATACAGTATGGAGTGACGTGGATTCTTAGAAATAAAGCTCAATTTGAATATTCAGTTATTAAAGCAAATGCACTCCCGAGACAAGCCTATCCAAACAAAGTCCTTCATTGTGTCTGAATTGCAAGAGTACAGACCTGTTTGGTGAGCAAAATTTGGATTTGATTACAGTACGTGATCCTTGTATGGGGTGTAGTTGTGTGACCAATTTCTTTTTAACCTTTTCGTGGGTGAAATATTGGATAAGCCTTGCTGCACAGTCAGGAAATACATTGTTTATCCAAACTGAGCCTAAAACTAGAAGAAACAAAACCCTCCATTTTCTTTTTATTAGTTTATTTCCTAATAGGAAATACAAGTTTCCAACCAAGTCTTTGAAGCTGACTGTGGGATCCTTTCAAAATTGGCTTGGTCAGATTTTACACATTTGATGCTACTAGAAATCAGATAAAAAGAGCAAAACAGCTTCTTCTCATTTTTTACTTAACCTGACTTTTGTGCATAATACAATTCATTCTACTGCCAGATCTCTTAATTGTTTGTACAGATTAAAGTCCTTTAAAGTAATAAGAAACATTCAACATTAGACATGTTACCGGTGTTCTTTCATCTAACAACAACAACAACAACAACAACAGTATCATTATTATTATTTTAAACACATTTCTAAAAAACATTTCTAAAGTTCATGGCTCCATTTCTTTCACAGCATTTAGTGTACAATTTTTTTCTTATAAAATGTAAAAATGGCAATTCCTATTCTTTCTGAAATTTAAAAGGTGCAATTTTTACCTATACTCTGGATGTTTGTTAGCAGGGGTTTTGTGACTAGGAATTTTAATCTAGAATTTTAACCTTTACTTATTTTTTTATCAATGAAGTATGGTTCGAATGCGAGGTGAAACTGAATTACTGTGTGATGAATTGAACTGTAATGATAGCATCACTATAATTAATTCAAAATACCAGTACTTAATCTTCAAACAAGATTGAAGCTGGGGTGTATTGAAATGTTATTCAGCATTAGACATGACCATTATTATTTCGTTAAAGGCAGTTAAACAGATTAATTCTAAATATTGAGCTTTTAATATCTCTTTCATGAATTTTGTTATGTAGGAAAAGTATGAAGCCTTGCAAGAAGTGTTTGTCCTTTGATGAGATAAAGAGATGTTAAGAGGAAAGAGAATTGGACCAGCGCTTTGTGGTGCACAGATACAAAGTGTGTAGTAATTATGTGGTGACATTTCAGGATCATCTAGCTGCACATATATCCTGAGATGGATGTGGCCTGGAAACACCAGCAGCCTCCATATGCATGAGACCAGGAGTGCTGCCCTCCTACCAGACCTCTGTCTCACATGTTGCACATCCGCTTAGGGCTGCACTCGCCAGCTGCTCCACCTGGTGTGAGTCCCAGTGACACCTTCTTGTCTGGACCTCATAGCTCTCAGCTTGTTGGCGAGAAAGACAAATAATTCTGATTTAATGGAAGCAATCGGGCAGGCGGTGTGGTGACAAGGTGGTAAGCATTGCTACTTCGTTGATCTTGGCTCCTGGGTTCAACTCCAGGCTACAGGTACGTTGCATGGGGAGATTACATGTTCACCTCTTGATTGCATGGGTTCTCGAAGAGAGCTCCAGTTTGCTCTCACCTTCCAAAGACATGCTGGGGAGGTTAATTAACTTCTTTAAATTGTGCATCTGAGCGTGTGTGCCTTGTAATGGACTGATGTCCTGTCTAGAGTGCGTTCCTGTCCTGTGCCCTATGCTTCTAGGATGTGATCCAGATTGCCACATGTCTGTCCATTTCCTCTGACAGGAATCTACTAGCATATAAATATTCTAGAGTGTAGGGCAAATCTTTTCAACAAACTGGTTTGCATGGTTTTACTTTTCTGTGTGTATAAATATTCACGTTGTGTCCTGTCTTCACAGATGCTGCACATTTACTCAGAGCCGCTGGCTCCCACTTCTCTATCTGAGATCCCTTTTATACTCAAGTTTGTCAGGCGCGCATTCAATTAGCTGCTTACCAGCATGTGCCCTCATGTAGTAAAGCAGATATGCTGGAGTATCTGCCTCTTTTTTGAGTTGGTTTGTTTGTGGTTACAGCTGTGGGCAAGAGAAGAGAAGTCCACAAGAGAGAAGTAGAAAAGACAGTTTACTGGAGTCATTAAAAATGATACAGAAAAAAATGCCAGTTTTTTAGTGGTTTAACATTACAAGCTTTGGTCTACATCTCAGTTAGATTCTATTAATGTTTTATTTAAAACACAGGCAATTGTGAAAAATAGTATGCAGTGATACTACTGTGCTTTAATTCAAGCTCTTTCTTCTGTGTTATACCCGTTTAGATATGCTGGGATGGAATGACACTAAATGGGATGGAATTAAATTACAGTAAATATAGCTTTAGCCATATATAATAAAGTATAATGAGTTTGTGTGTATTCTTATTATCTAATTATCAATGGAACAAGTTGAGACTTGTTCTATCATTTATCTCTGCTCGTTCTGTTTGCAGCTCAGACACCGACACAGATTTCCTCTCGGACCTCTTCTAATTGTTGATGTCATTTGAATTTTGAAAAAAAAATTGACGGTTTCATTCTAATTTTCTCTACGAAGAAACTAGAAAATACCTCACAGAATCTATGAGAATCTCACAGAAAATACCTTTGTGATCTATTTTTTACAACTGCAAATTGTCCGACCACACTCATCTCTGCTTTTCTCGACAGCCTTATGAGACCTCCAGCAACCTCATTTACTGTATCTCCTGTAAAAAATGCCCAGATATCTACATTGGAGAAACTGGAAGGAGACTAGGAGACCACTTCAAAGAACATGTTAGGGTTGTGAGGATTAAAGATTTCTCCAAGCCCATAGTTTCTCATTTCACCTCAGACGGCCATGATCACACTGATCTCTCT